CTGACTTTGCTCTCCCTTCAGGGGTCTCTGAGCTACCTTGGGGTCCTGGATTTCTGCCAGTCACAAGACAAACCCCCACAACTCCTTCCAAGCCACCAAACACTTCGTGATCTCCATCCACATACCGGCCTCTCAAATTCTGAGGTAAGATGCAGAATGGGAAATTCTCACAGCAATTGCTGCTATGGGTTGTGGTTCTACTCTCTCGTCTCAAAGTCCTAGTACCAGGCACCACAACATCTACAGACATTGTGTCCAGGCAACAGTAGGTGTGGGCAGCGACTCAACCTCCTGTTTCCCTTCTATGGGCTACGCCCTGGGCTCCAGTGGGTGCCTGGGTGACGACCCTACCCCCTGTTCCCATATTGTCTAGTGGCCATGACCTTGAGATGCCCAATATCCACCAATCCGACTCTAATGGTCGCCATGGGAGCTGCTGCTTCCCACCTTCCATCTGATTCTCCTCTCAGTTGCCTTCTGAGTAATATAGTCCCTCTCAAACTGTCTCCAGACCTCAAACAGCAACCCTGATAGCTTTATCACTTCTGTGAGCTTTATCACTTCTGTGAGTGATCCAGAAAATGGAAGGAGATCCCATATATTCAAGTTGTTTCCTATCTTCAAGCTAAACCTTCTATGTGTACTTTCTGCTCTACAGCCAAGGTCCTTTCAGCCTTCCAAAGTTTCCACTAGAGGTCAAGGGCCTGAGCCAAAACCCCTTCCTTCTACATTCGCGGCCCCGCCTCTCACTGTCTCAGATTCGCTGCTCCTACTTTCCTGCCCGCCCCCTGGCAAAGGTTTAACAGGACCTGTTCCTGAACACTTGGGTGGCTCTCCCCCCACCTCGATCTTTCTCTGTCTCTCGGTATCTGTCCCTCCCTCCTTCCCTCCCTCCCTCCCTCTCTAACACTCTCCTTCTCCCTCTTTTCTTCTTGCCCCTTCCCTCCAGTCTGTCAGGTTTCCCCACCAATAAACCCTTTCCCTTAAAAAAATTTATATTTGAATTTTTGTATTCCCCTAAGAAATACTGGTCACTCAATTATGCAGAATGAGAAAAAAAATTTCCAAGCTGCGTATCTGACAAAGACAATATATGAGGAAATCTGACAGTCCAACAGTTTAAAAAAAAAAAGTAATTAAAACATGAACAAAAGAACTGGATAGACGCCTCTCAAAAGAAGATACACAGGGTAGGGATTTCGTACAGCACTTAAGATGCCACTTGGGATACCTGCATGCCATGTTGGAATTGCAGGGTTCAACTCTCGGCTCATTCAAGCTTCCTGGTAATTTGCACTTTGGTATGCAATTGGTGATGACTCAAGTAATTGAATTCCTGCCATCCAAGTTGGAGACCAGGATTGAGTTCCTGGCTCCTGGTTTCATCCTAGCCCAGGCCCAGCTGTTGTGGGTATTTAGGTAGTGAACCAACAGATAGATGCTCTGAGTCTGTCTCTCTGTCTGTCTGTCTCTTCTTTCCCTGTCTTTTTGCCTCTCAAATAAAATAAATAAAAAAATTAATAAGACATCCAAATGTTCAACAGGCATACAAAAAAATCCTCAGTGTCTCTAACAATCAGAAAGATACAGATCAAAACCACAATGAGACATCACCATACTCCAGTTAGACTGGCTATTCTCAAAAAGACAAAAGTTAGCAAGTGCTGGCAAGGATGTAGAAATAGAAGAACTCATGTTTTAATGAGAATGGAAATTAGTACAGTCAGTATGGAAATCAGTATGGAGATTCCTCAAAAATAACTTTTACAACTACCACATATCCAGCAATCCTATACCAAGTATATAGCCAAAAAATACAAAATCAGTATGTCAAAAAGATATCTGAATTCCCATATTTATTGCAGCACTGTTTTTTTTTTAATTTTTAAAAAATTTATTTATTTATTTGAACAGAAGAGAGAGTCAGAGACATAGACAAAGACAGAGGGAGAGATCTTCCATCCACTGGTTCACTCCCCAAATGGCTACAATAGCAAGGCCAGGGCCACATTGAAGCAAGGAACCTAGAACTCCATCTGGGTCTCCTACATGAGTGGGACAGACCCAAATACTTGGGCCATCTTTTGCTGCCTTCCCAGGTACTTCCTGGGAGGCAGGAGGGGAATATCATTATGTTCCTAGAATTGCATCAACAAAACACATTGAATCTATTAAAACTAATACAAAATTAGGGCCGGCGCCGCGGCTCAATAGGCTAATCTTCCACCTGTGGCGCCGGCACACCGGGTTCTAGTCCCAGTCAGGGCGCTGGATTCCGTCCCGGTTGCCCCTCCTCCAGGCCAGCTCTCTGCTAATGGCCCAGGAGTGCAGTGGAGGATGGCCCAAATCCTTGGGCCCTGCACCCCATGGGAGACCAGGAGAAGCACCTGGATCCTGCCTTCGGATAAGCACAGTGCGCTGGCTACAGCGCGCCGGCCGCGGTGGCCATTGGAGGGTGAACCAACGCCAAAGGAAGACCTTTCTCTCTGTCTCTCTCACTGTCCACTCTGCATGTCAAAAAAAAAAAAACTAATGAAAAATTAAAATAAAAAAATTTTAAAAACTTGAAGACCCAATTTTAGATGTTTTTGAGGAGATATATTTATTTTGACTGAATATGATACAATATAATATGTATCAAAACAATCACACTGTTTTCCATACATATGTACAATTATAATATGTTCAAATTTTTTTAATAAAAAAAGGAATCTTGTTATTTGCAACAACATGGATGGAATCTAAGATCATAATTTTAAGTCAGGTACAGAGAGGCAGCTATCAAGTAATTTCACTCATCTGTAGAATCTAAAAAAGCTGAGTTCAAGAAAGCATGAAGCAGAATAGTGATAACCAGTGGCTTGCAGGGAGATGAGGTGGCAGTAGGAATGGGGAGAAATGTATTAACAGGCAAAAAGACATAGTCAATTAAAAGAAAGAGGTTATGGTGTATTACTACACTGAAGGATGATTTTTGTTAATAATTTTGTATAGTATACTTCAAAATAGCTTTAAGAGATGATTTTAAATGTTCTCTTCATAAGGAAATGATAAACAATTGAGATAATAATCTAAATACCATGAATTGATTTTTACACAACACATACATGTACTAAAACATCCTATAACCCACAAAGATGCACAATTACTACCTTTGAATTAAAAAAAAAAAAAATAGCAGGGGCCGGCACTCTTCTGATCCAGATCTCTGCTAATGGCCTGGAAAAGCAGTGGAAGATGGTCCAGGTGCTTGGGCCCTGAATCCACATGAGAAACCCAGATGAAGCTCCAGGCTGCTGGCTTTGGACTGGCCTAACCTAGGCTGTTGTGGCCATTTGGGAAAGTGAACCAGCAGATGAAAGAACTTTGTCTCTCTTTCTTACTCTGTAATTCTGCCTTTCAAATAAATAAATCTTTTAAAAAAAAAAGCGGGGGGAGGGGTGGGTGGGCAGTACTGTGGTGTAGCAGGTGAAGCCCCCGCCTGCAGTGCCAGCATCCCATATGGGCACTGGTTCAAGTCATGGCTGCTCTACATCTGATCCAGCTCTCTGCTATGGCCTCAGAAAACAGTAGAAGATGGCCCAAGTCCTTTGGCCCCTGCTCCCGTGTGAGAGACCCAGAAGAAGCTCCTGGCTCCTGGCTTCAGATCGGCGCAGCTCCAGCCATTGCTGCCAATTGAGGAGTGAACCATCGGATGTAAGACCTCTCTTTCTCTCTCTACCTCTCCTTCTCTCTCTGTGTAATTCTGATTTTTAAATAAATAAATAAATTGTTAAAAAAAAATAAAGAATTCTTACATCAGAAGTTTCAGATAGGCAAGGAGAAGAAGAAATTCAGAATTAAAATTAAGACTCCAAATTCTGTATCAATCATACTCACTGACACTTTAATATACTTTTAGTAGACTACATTATTGTTGTCAATCCATCATATCTCCCTATGACCACAACCTTCACCATGTGATTCTGCAGTTCCTTCCACCAGCAATCATCCTTGGATATCTCAAGTCTCTTGATGTTAGGCACAGAGATGAGACTTGCTTTGGCTGATATAATATTAGAGGACATGACATAAGCAAAGACTTGAAATGTATTTCCAGAGTTGGAGCTTCCCTGTGTTTCTGCCATCACTAGGAGAAAATCATGCCCCTTGGCAATCCTTTGATCCAAGGAACAACAAAGACTCATAGAACAGACCTAAACTCTGTGCACATTTTGGGGGCAAGAACAGCTAACCCAATAAACATACTAGCAAGAACAACTTCTATTTTAAGCCATCCATGTCACAGCATTATTGCGGCTTTAGTTATATTTAATATACTTATATATTAATTTTAAAACATCATCTCGCTAAAAATCTTTATATATGAAGTTGATGAGCCTCTCTTTCCTTTTGTCCTATAGTAGCTATATATCATATTTCCAAAGGTAGGTGCATCAGTATCTCCCATTTCACACGATTTTTACAGTTTGATCTTAACATTCACGCATCAGGTGGTGGAGTTTATTTCTCTTCCCACGAACTTTGACTGAGCCTATGATACTGTGTAACACCTGAAGCCAGACATAAAGCTATCTACAGTTTCCATGTATGGCCTTCAGGCAAGCCAGCAGCAAGCAAGAAGCCTAACCCCGCTAGGACAAGCACAATGAGAGGTACAAATTTGACAAAAGAAGACAGATAGAGAGAGACACCAAGCAAAAGGCTAAGAGTCCAAGTAGGGAAACGGCAAAGAGAAAGGCACTATGGAGTAGAGCCATGACTGCTAACGATCTGAGTAAAGCCATGTTGGACTTTAAAGACATCCTAGTGCCCAGCTGACACTATCCAAGTCAGCAGATCCTCCCAGTTTATTCATAATCCACATAACTGCAAGAATAAACTGGTACTGCTTTAAGACACTATCATTTATAGTGAATTATAACATGGAGGCGCAAACAAGTCATTGATAAATGTGCTGAATTAATTAAATTTGTTGAAATATTCTGTTTCGTGCTTACCTTGGTGTTCGCCATGTCCACAATATACTGGTCTCCCTTTATACATTCCATTACTTCAAAACCATCTCTGTCAATCACCTTGGCCTGAGAACTTCCAGATACAACAAGTATCATGTCTCCTGTGTTACTATATTGTAATGACTTGATCTGATGGCTATGCAAAAGAAAAAGAAAATAATCTGGTAAGTCACTGAGCATAATATTCATATTTTAACTGCCTTAAGCTCTCCAGGAAAAATGTTACACAACTGCACAGACTGATAATTCTATAAAATCAGGAACATAAACCTCAAATGGACCCACAACACCCACTGGTTATCCTGTTAGCTCTCTCTTCCAACTCAACACAGACATCTATTAAAGCATACTCTACTAACCCTATACCTTCAACCTGATCAATTTTCCCTCTTTCTGTTGCTAATCTTCTTGATGTTAACTACAAGAAACAAAAAAGAACTACTTTGGGACAGGTGCTGTGGCATAGCTGGTAAAGGTACTGCCTGCAGTGCCAGCATCCATATGGGCGCTGGTTCGAGTCCCCAGCTTCTCTGCTTCCCAACCAGCTCTCTGCTATGGGTTGGGAGGGCAGTGGAGGAGAATGGTCCAAGGCCTTGAGCCCCTGCACCCACGTGGGAGACCTGGAGGAAGCTCCTGGAACCTGGCTTTGAATCAGCTCAGCTCCAGATGTTGCTGCCACCTGGGGAGTGAACCAGCAGATGGAAGACCTCTCTCTTTCTCTCTGCCTCTGCCTCTCCGTAACTCTACCTGTCAAATAAAATAAATCTTCAAAAAAATTTTTAAAAAGAACTGCCTCAAGTTTCTCCCCCTTAATGTTATAAATTTAACTGCTCCTAAACGGCTCTCTGCCTCCTTCTGTTCAACTACAAGGATGAAAATGAACCTCTTCCTGGCCAAGGGAAATCATAATACCGATATCCAGGATCCCATCATTCCCAGTATCTTCAGGAACTTCCACTATCTTTTCTCTTCTTCCATTCACAGTTAAGCAGTTTGAACAAATTTTCAACCCTCCTCATCTCCTCCTTTGTTTCTCTAGCACAACAGTATCCTTTCTACTCTCACCACTCCACTAAAACTGATCTTGTTGTTGTGGCTGTAGTGACAGCTACGGTGTGCCACTTTCAGAATTGAAATACTCAGCCTCCCAGCTTCCAGAATTGTGCCTGCTGGTGCTGAACAGGTGAAGCCTCAGGAATTTCCTTGAGTTGCATGGAGCTGCCACATCCAAGGTTATGTCACTCTCCAAAAGCAGCCCACATTCAATGACTGCCCAATGTGCAGTAAAATGGCCTGGCACTATACATCACAACCTGGAATATCTCAGAAGGGCTATTCCAGTGTCAGGTTCCAGTGGGATCACAACAGTTGAGGCTGCTGTTCCACTACCCTTCCAGCTTCCTAGTGCTATATCCATTGCAACCTCTCTCACAGAGATCAACCCCAGAAGTACTGCCCAATCAACTTCCTACATGCAAATGTTGAAATGTCAAACTTTGTTCTAGGGAACCTGACCTGAGAGAGATGATACCAAAAGTGGCCCTGTGAAACTGACTATAAAATGAGATTCTTAAGTGTATTAACCACTAACTGACTAGCAATGAGGAACCAACCACTGGTAGTAACTAGTCCATAACATGCTGTATCACTGCAATCACAATTGTGAAAACTTTTGTCGGTGAAAGAGAAGGCATGGCAGGTGCAATATTTCAGGCATTTGTGAAGTACAGAGCAGTAATTAAAAGGACTAGGAACTGGATAGCTGTTGCTAGGAGCAGTCAATGCAATGGAGAAAAACAATGAAAGGCTGAGGGTGATAAATCATTGACTAAAAACTACACTATAAAAGCCAAAGGATCTCTTTGGCAGCATACAGAGATAGGGATATGGGTCTCTGGCAGGTAAGTGATATGCAGTCTTTGATGTGGTAAAACATGTTTTCCACTCCTGTTAAGAACTAGAACCACACAATCAATAGTAGCATACCTTTATGTGTTTGAACCAAGGCTATATTAATTTTTCTGTCCTAGGTTTGAATTCACTTCCAAGAGACCCAGACAATATGGATAATCAAGAGAAATTCACAGTGATGTACAATATTGATGGCATCATATTAACTAAATTAGATGAACAAGAAGTAACAAGTACACTGGTGAGATACAAGTTCTCCCAGAGACTAGTCACTGGTCTCTGATTCCCTGGTGAAGATCATTGCGGCAGTATCCGTGCTCAAACTGAGGATTGCATGGATCCTTAGCGTGGTTCTTGTGGCAGAGTGGATGAATATCGTACCCACTGGAGCTAGCACCTGGACATTGGTCTCCCTGGAGGAGAGGAGGTGAGCGTTAGACTATGCCAACAGAGCAGATCAAACCCTCTCTGTCGCTCCCCCTCTTCGTGGAGGAGCGACACAAGACCCTGCGTTGTTCTTTTGTCTGCTCGGCCCTCCCCGGGTTTGCTGCTGGTTCTTCCCAGGTTGGCTGCCGTCCCTCCACCTCCGTGGAGGGGCGGCACCCCCTGCCACTTTCCCCACTTCCACGGGGGAGCGGCACACCGCCGGCCGGCTCTCTCGGGGGCTGCTCAGATGTCCCTCAGGTGTTCCTGGTGCATGTTGTCTCTCGCCTCCTTTATAGTCCTCTTCCACCAATCCCAACTCTGCTACCCACACGCCGAATATGCTGCTCTCCTCCAATCAGGAGCAGGATCAGCTCCTGCAGGTCATCACTCAAGTTGGCGAGAGGCAGCTGCGTAGAAGTTATTTACTCCCTTCTCAGCGCCATATTGTGGGAGAGCAGATGCATAGAATAAGTCTTAATTTCAGTAACTTAGTCTAGTCCGAGTTGCTCCCCACACCTCTCCTCAGATTAAAAAAAAAGATTTACCACGCCCAGCTTGGGTATCACCTTAGACACTCCCCACACCCTGGAGCACTGAACAGAGCTCCCTGACCACACCCAGTACATGCCTCTGGGTACCGACTGGAAGAGCAGACACTTCACTAAGCCATAAAGGCACAGTCCAAAGATAAAAGCCATCATAGGGAAGAAAAGAAAAGAAACCAACAACAACTATCTCTAAATATGCCAAAATAAACACAGAAATTCAAGAAACAAAAGGAAGATAGGGGCCAGCGCTGTGACATAGCAGATAAAACTGCTGCCTGCAGTGCCAGCATCTCAGATGGGCACCGGTTCAAGATACGGCTGCTCTACTTCAGATCCAGCTCTCTGGTATGGCCTGGGAAAGCACCACAAGGTGGCCCATGCCCTTGGGACTCTGCACCTGCATGGGAGACCTGGAAGAAGCTCCTGGCTCTTGGCTTCAGATCAGCGCAGCTCGGGCCGTTGCAGCCATCTGGGGAGTGAACCAGCAGATGGAAGACCTCTCTCTCTGTCTCTACCTCTCTCTGCAACTCTTTCAAGTAAATAAAATAAATCTTTAAAAAAAAAAGAAATTATTAGATATGTATTCGATGGAATACTACACAGTGGTAAAAAAAATGAAATCCAGTCATTTGCAACAAAATGGAGGAATCTAGAAAACATCATGCTGAGTGAAATAAGCCAGTCCCAAAGGGACAAATATCATATGTTCTCCCTAATCTGTGACAACTGAGCACCTAAAAGGAAACCTGTAGAAGTGAAACTGACACTATAACAAGTAATGACATGATCAGCCCTTGTCCTGTCGAGCAACAGCTTACTATTTTATTCCTTTTAGTATTTTTTTCTACTAATACCATTGGTTGAATTCTTTAATTAACACACAATTATTCTTAGGAGTTTTAATCCAACTGAAAATTGATCTCTGTTAAAAATAAGAGTGGGAATAAGAGAGGGAGGCACACATTCCCACGGACTTACCCCTAAGAGTAAAGCTAAAACCTTGCCACGGGACTTCAAATCCCATTAAGTTGGCAGGTACCAATGCCATCTTACTAGTTAAAGTGATCAGTTTAAATTCATAACTGATCATAAAGATAGGATTAAGTGTCAAAGGGATCACATAAATAAGATCAAGTGTTGCTAATAATAATTGATAGAATTAAAAAGGAGAGAACGATCCAACATGGGAAGCAGGACACACAGCAGACTCATAGAATGACAAATGCCCTAAACAGAACTCTGGCCTCAGAAGCAGCCCTTAAGGCATTTGGATCTGGCTAAAAAGCCCATGAGAGCATTTCAGGCATGGAAAGCCAAGACACTCTGGCAAAAAATAACCTACAGGAAAGATCTCTTGTCAGCGAGATCCTGGTGGAAAAAAGAGGCCATCAAAGAAGGAGGTACTTTTCTCTGAAGGGAGGAGAGAACCTCCACTTTGATTATGGCTTGTCTAAATAGTGTCGGAATTTGTGGACTCAAGAGGCCTTGGCAGCTGGTGACAAGAACCTTGGTTGATCACTGACATCATAAATAAGAGCGTCAATTGTTAACTCAACAACTGGAGTCACTATGCACTTGCTCCCATGTAGGACGTCTGTCCTTAATGTGTGATGTTATGAGAAATAACAGTAAAACTAGTCTTCAAACAGTATTTTATACTTTGTGTGTCTGTGCAGGTGCAAACTGTTGAAATCTTTACTTAGTATAGAGTTGATCTTCTGTATATAAAGATAATTAAAAATGAATCTTAATAGAGAATGGGATAGGAGAGGGAGTAGGAGGTGGGATGGTTTGGGGGTGGGAGGGTAGGTATGGGGGAAAGAAACGCTATAATCCAAAAGTTGTACTTATGAAATTTATATTTATTAAATAAAAGTTGTGTTTTTTGTTTTGTTTTTTTTTTTTTTTTTGGACAGGCAGAGTGGATAGTGAGAGAGAGAGACAGAGAGAAAGGTCTTCCTCTTGCCGTTGGTTCACCCTCCAATGGCCGCCACGGCTGGCGTGCTGCGGCCGGCGCACGGCGCTGATCTGAAGCCAGGAGCCAGGTGCTTCTCCTGGTCTCCCATGGGGTGCAGGGCCCAAGCACTTGGGCCATCCTCCACTGCACTCCCGGGCCACAGCAGAGAGCTGGCCTGGAAGAGGGGCAACCGGGACAGAATCCGGCACCCCGACCGGGACTAGAACCCGGTGTGCTGGCGCCACAAGGTGCAGGATTAGCCTAGTGAGCCGCAGCGCCGGCCTAAATAAAAGCTTTCTATTAAAAAAAAAAACAATAGGCCGGCGCCGCGGCTCACTAGGCTAATCCTCCGCCTAGCGGCGCCGGCACACCGGGTTCTAGTCCCGGTCGGGGCGCCGGATTCTGTCCCAGTTGCCCCTCTTCCAGGCCAGCCCTCTGCTGTGGCCAGGGAGTGCAGTGGAGGATGGCCCAGGTGCTTGGGCCCTGCACCCCATGGGAGACCAGGAAAAGCACCTGGCTCCTGGCTCCTGCCATCGGATCAGCGCGGTGCGCCGGCCGCAGCGCGCCGACTGCGGCGGCCATTGGAGGGTGAACCAACGGCAAAGGAAGACCCTTCTCTCTGTCTCTCTCTCTCTCACTGTCCACTCTGCCTGTCAAAAAAAAAAAAAAAAAAAAAAAAAAAATTCACTGACGCCAGAGTGCCAAGTGTTAAATCAACGAAAGGAGTCACTGTGCACTTGCTCTCTGTCCTTAATGAGTTGTACTATGAGAATTAATGGAAAAACTAGTTTTCTTTTTTTTTTTTAGATTTATTTATTTATTTGAAAGTCAAAGTTACACAGAGAGAGGAGAGACAGAGAGAGAGAGAGGTCTTCCGTCCGCTGATTCATTCCCCAGATGGCTGCAACAGCCGGAGCTGCACTGATCCGAAGCCAGGAGCCAGGTGCTTCCTCCAGGTCTCCCACGCAGGTGCAGGGGCCCAAAGACTTGGGCCATCCTCTACTGCTTTCCCAGGCCATAGCAGAGAGTTGGATTGGAAGAAGAGCAGCCAGGACTAGAACCGGCGCCCATATGGGATGCCAGCACTTCAGGCCAGGGCATTAACCTGCTGTGCCACAGCGCCGGCCCAGAAAAACTAGTTTTCAAACAGTACTTTATACTTTGTGTGTGTAGGTGCAAACTTTGAAATCTTTACCTAGTATAGAGTTGATCTTCTGTATATAAAGATAAAATTAAGAATGAATCTTAATAAAGAATGAGATGGGGGAGGTGGGACAGGAGTGGGGGTGGGGGTGGGGATGGGGGGAAGAATCTATATTCCAAAAAGCTGTACCTATGAAAATTTATATTAAATAAAATATTTTAAAAAGCATAATTTCAAAACACTGGAAAGTATAAAAATATTTCAGCATATATGCAACATTAGCAAAATGAAAGCATCTGAAGTTTATAAGTACACCCGTGACTTTGTTACCTACTCTCATAATTAAAGAAAATTCTCAATTTCACTTAAGTATTACAGAAAAGAATTTTTTATCCAACTTCACAGAAACTAGAAAATCCAGGGGCCAGCACTGTGGCATAGCAGGTGACAGTGTGGCCTGCAATGCCAGCTTCCCATATGGGCGCCGTTTGTGTCCTGGCTGCTCCAATTCTTTTTTTTTTTTTTTCTTAAGATTTATTATTTGAAAGGCAGAGTTACAGAGAGACAGAGGCAGACAGAGATAGAGGTCTTCCATTGGCTGGTTCACTACCCAAACTGTCATAAAGGACAGAGCTAAGCCAAACAAAAGCAAGGAGCTTGGAGCTTCTTCTGGGTCTCCCACACGGATACAGGGGCCCAAGAACTTGGGCCATCATCCACTGCTTTCTGAGGCTACAGCAGAGATCTGGATCAGAAGTGGAGCAGCTGGGACTCAAACCAGTTGCCATAGGGGATGCCGGCACTGCAGGGGGTGGTTTTACCCATTCCCCTGCTCCAATTCCGATCCAGCTCCCTGTTACTGGCCTGGGAAAAGCAGCAGCAGATGACCCAAGTGTTTGGGCCTGTACTATCCATAGGGGAGATCTGGATGAAGCTCCTGGCTTCCTGGCTTCAATCTGGCATAGCACTGGCCATTGCAGCAATCTAGGGAAGAGGCAGTAGATGAAAGATCTCTCTTTGTCTCTCCCCCCTCTCTCTAATTCTAACTTTCAAAATAAATAAATAAATCTTTTTGAAATATTAGAAGATAAAAATATTGAATTTATGAGTCATGGAATTTAAATAACTATAACTAAGAAAATTAACTGGCAAACAAAGAATTTATACAAAGAACAAGAAATCATAACAAAAAATGGAAAAATTCTAGAAAGAAAAATACAATAACTAAAATTGAGAATTCAATAGCAGAGAATCAAAAGGTTAAAAGAAAATTTCTGGACTGAAACATGGTGAAAAAACATGGAAAATGCAGAAAACAAACAAAAGATACATGTGACACATATTAAAAATTTGTCTCACACTGGAATTGCAGAATGGAAGAAGAGAAAAGCAATATTTGCAGAGGTAATTGTCAAAATTTATAGAAAAATGACTAAAGATACTAATCTAAAGATTCAAGAAGTACTATAAACCTTTATAGTGTAGTAGAAATTACATCTAGGCACAGCATAGCAAAACTGCAGAAAGTCAAAGATAAAAATAAAATAAAATAAAAGCTTAACAATAGAGTATAAAAAATATTTCAACAGAGTAGGTGATTGTTTTCATGGAAGTAACAAAATTAAAACCTATGGAATTTATCAGCAGTCAACTTACTTTAAAGGAAATACTACAGGGAGTTCATTAGGCAGAAAACAAAAGATGTCAAAAGCACAGAGTGTGGCATAAAGAATAGTAAGAGATGAAGAATACAAAAGTAAGTATCAATGGATACTGACTGCATAAAACAACAATGTCTGATGGGATTTAAAATGCGTTCACACACCCATATATAAATATAAAATACACAAACAACTGCAAAAAAAAAAGGCAGGAAGAAGATGTAACTAAATATAGTGAATGTTCTAAGGTATTTACATTTAACAGGAAAAGGCAAAAGTGCTAACTTATAATAGACTTTCAAATTATTCTAAGAATATATGTTGCTTTTTTTCCTCAGCTTGTGGACCCAGGACGAGCAGAGCAGGACAGGCGCTTAGACCCCGGGACTGTATTCCAACATGGCCGAAGACAACTGTTCACACAAAAAACTATCAAAAAATCATAGGTGCAGTCCCACAAAATTCACAAAAGAGCAACTGAAAATCCTCATCAACGCCTTCAACCAAAAGACATACCCTGGCTACCCTTCCAAACAGAAGCTTGCTTTGGACATCAACACCAAAGATTCAAGAATACAAGTTTGGTTCCAGAATCCAAGAGCACAATATCCATTCCAGAAAAGACCAGAGCTTGAGGAAGCTTTAGACTCAAGCCAAGGCCATGGAGAAGACTGTCCTCAAGAACAAATTCAAAATCTCTTTACTGTACAAACAGAATCCAGACAGTGTCATTCCAACTACAGCTCCTCTCGATCTCACACCCTCATCAAGGCATTTTTGAACAACTCTTACCCAGGAATTGATTCCAGAGAACAACTTGCCAAAGAAATCAGAGTTCCTGAGTCAAGAACCCAAATTTGGTTTCAACGCCAGAGAAATAGATTCCTTATCCAGAGAAAACAAAAGTCTAATGAGCCCTTAGAGGAAGACCAGGGAGAAGAAGACCGAGAGTGCTTCAAGTCTTTCAAGAAATCAAGAAATCTACCTTTTCCCTGAGACTTCAAGACAAACCTTTCAAGAAATGGTAAACAGGACTTCAGGAGGCAAATACAAGAGAAACCACACAGCCTATTTGACCTATTCTGGTTTCAAAATTCTTCAGACATTGGGACAATGAAAACGAATCTAATAGGAGCCAGTCCTGTGGTGCAGGAGTTAAGTCACTGTCTGCACTGCCAGCATCCCATAAGAACACCGGTACAAGTCCAAGCTGCTCCCCTTCTGATCCAGCTTCCTGCCGATGTGCCTGGGAAAGCAGCAGCAGATGGTCCAAATACTTGTGCTCCTGCCACCCACGTGGAAGACTCAGATGGAGTTCATGGCTCCTGGTTTTGGCCTGACCTACTCCAGGCCATTGTAGCCATTTGGGGAGACAGCCGGTGGATGAAAGATCTCTCTATCTCTATGTGCCCCTTTCAAACTCTCTCTGTGACTCTGCTTGTCAGACAAACAAACAAATAAATAAATCTTAAAAAAAAAAAAAAAAGAACATATGTTGAGGCCAACGTTGTGGCATAGTAGGTTAAGCATCTGCCTGCTGTGCTGGCATCCCATATGGGTGTCGGTTTAAGTCCTGGCTGTTCCTCTTCCAATCTAGCTCCGGGCTTATGGCCTGGGGAAGCAGTAGAGGAAGGCTCAAGTGCTTCGGAGACTGGGAAGAAGCTCCTGGTTCTTGATTTCGGATCAGCCAGCTCTGACCATTGTGATCATTTGGGGAGTGAACCAGCATTTGGAAGATCTCTCTCTCCCTCTCCTTCTCCCTCTCCCTCTAATTCTGACTCTCAAGTAAATAAATAAACCTTTTTTTAAAAAAATATATATGTTGTAATTCAGATAAAATATTAAGTAGCTGTTTTAAAGAAACTCAACGAATTTCAAGAAAATACAGAAAAAGATCTCAACACTTTAACAGGGTAACTTAGCAGAGAGATAGAAGAAAGTTTTGAAAATCAAGCAGAATCTTTGAGCTGAAAAGTACACTAAGTGAAGTTTAAAAACATGATAGAAGGCATCAATACCAGAATAAACCATGGGTGGGCTTTTGACCTAACAGTTAAGCCAACACTTGGGATGACTGTATCCCATATTGGAATGCCTGGTTGGAGTCCCAGCAACACCATTTCTGATCCAGCTTCTGGCTAACACCCACCTGGGAGGCAGCAGAACATGGCTCAAGTACTTGGGTCCTTGCTACTCATGTGAGATACCTGGATGAGATCCAGGCTCCTGATTTTGGCCTGGCACAGCCCTGGCTGATGTATTTGGGGAGTGAACAAGCAAATGGAATCAATCTCAATCTCTCCCTCTCCCTCTCTCCCTCCCTACCTCCCTGCCTCCCTTCAATAAAATGAAAATCAATAAAAAACTTTTTTAAAATATTTTTCTTTAAAAAATCAGAATAAGGGCGGTCAATAGCGCGGGCCTGGCGGAGCGCGGCAACGCGCGGAGATCGCGAGGCGACCGGGGCCAGCTGGGCCCCCGGCGGCGCGCCCCTCGGCCCAGCCGGGAGCCGCGCCAGTCGGAGCCCCTGGCCGAGGGCGGCCAGCCAGCTTCTCAGCGCCCATCCCTCCGGAGAGCAGCCGGGGGGCATGACCGACCCACCAGGGGCGCCGCCGCCGGCGCTCGCAGGCCGCGGGTGAAGAAGAAAGTCCGTACCCGCTCGGCCCGGAGCGAGGAGGCGCCACGAGACGAGGAGGCGCCCCAGATCGAGGAGGCGCCCCCGGCCGAGGAGGTGACCCCAGACGTGATCCAGGCGGAGGAGGTGACCGAGACCGAGGAAATGGCGGCAGCCGGGCTCAGCGTGACCGTCACCCACAGCAATGAGAAGCATGACCTTCATGTCACCCCTCAGCAGGGTAGCAGCGAACCAATTGTCCAAGACCTGGCCCAGGTTGTTGAAGAGGCCATAAGGGTTCCACTGCCTTTCCAGAAACTCATATTTAAGGAAAAATCTCTGAAGGAAATGGAGGCACCATTGTCAGCACTTGGAATACAAAACGGTTGCCGGGTCATGTTAATTGGGGAAAAGAACTGTCCAGAGGAAGAGGCTGAACTAAAGAAGTTGAAGGATTTGGAGAAGTCTGTGGAGAAGATAGCCAGCCAACTAGAAGAGTTGAATAAAGAACTCAGTGGAATCCAACAGGGTTTTCTGGCCAAGGATTTGCAAGCTGAAGCTCTCAGCAAACTTGATAGGAGAGTAAAAGCCACAATTGAGCATTTTATGAAGATTTTGGAGGAGATTGACACCCTGATCCTACCAGAAAATTTCAAAGACAGTAGACTGAAAAGGAAGGGTTTGGTGAAGAAGATCCAGGCGTTCCTAGCTGAGTGCGACACAGTGGAGCAGAACATCTGCCAGGAGACTGAGAGGCTCCAGTCTACAAACTTGGCCTTGGCTGAGTGATGTGCCCTGAAGAGGAGCTGTGCTACCCGGAAGAAAAGTGCCACCAGCTTCTCTGGAATGGAAGTGGCCTGATTTTCCCCTGGGCTACCAGGGGCAATTGGCCAGTTGCCAATTTTCCTCCCCCTACGCCAGTTCTCAGTGAAAAAGTGTCTTCGCGATCTTAAGTTAGAGCTCCTATCTGTTTTCCCCTCTGTCTTTTGAGTCGCTGTGCTGTCCAGCAGCCCACCTCTTCTGGAAAAGGCATTCTCTGCCCAACTGTCCCAGTCTGGTGACTTCCGGGTGCTTTCTATGGGCTGGGGAGAGCTTGTTTGCCCTGAGCTAGCTCCCGGTTTATAGGCTCTCCTGGCCTTCAGGTACACAAGAGCTTTCTTGCCCTGGTGATCCCATAGTCTCACAGATGGAAAAGCAGAATCACCAGAAGGTTGTGGCCACTCAGGAATGCTGACAATGGCATGGAATGGGTGTTCGCCACACAGGCAGTCCCAGTGTCCCTCGCATCTGGCTGGGTTGTTGGTTTACAGACCCTGCTCAGCCCTAGGCTGTGACGTCAGGCCCATTCCTAGATGAGACTTGTGATGGATAGATTTCCTCGACCCCACGCAAACCTTCAGCAGGTCAGAACCTGGTGCTGACTGAGTCTCTGCTTGAAACAAGGCCACAGCCATGGCTTAGGAAGGGCTGAGACGGGGAGCCAGAGAGTAGAACAAGCAGGTGGAGAGACCAGCACCAACGAGAAGCTTCTCAGGAGTGACATGTGCTTCCTTCAAAGGCGTCTGGGCCCTGTACCCTCATGAGTGCTATTATTTCCCTCAAGGTTGTTCTCCCCCTCCCCATTGTTATTAAAAAGTTTGTATGTCCACCAAAAAAAAAAAAATCAGAATAAGCCAAAAGAAGAAGAAATTAGTGAACTTAAAGACAGCTATTTGAAAATACACAGTTGGAGGATAAGAAAGAATGAAATGAAATGAAGAAAGTTTATACTACTCAGTCATTTAAAAAAGGATGAAATTTTGTCAACAGCAACAATACGGATGGACCTGGAGGTCATTACTTTAAGTGAAATAAGCAAAGCACAGAAAGACAAGTACCACATGATATTAAGTGTGGAATCTAAAAGAGTTCATCTCACAGAATTTGAGAGTATAATAGTGGTGTCCAGGGGTTGGGGGCAGTAACAGGGTGGGGAAGAATAGGGAAAGGTTAATTAACTAAATTACAATTTGATAGGAGAAATAATTTCTGGAGTTCTATTATGTGGTAGGGTGACTATAATAGCATATCCTTTCCTTTCAAATGAAAGCTAGAGAAAGGATTTTGAAGATTTTCAAGATAAAGAAATGACAAAAGAGGGTAAGCACTGTGGCACAGTGGGCTAAGCTGCCTCTTAGATGTACACATCCCATATCAATGTGCAGCTGGAGTGCCAGCAGTTCTACTTCTGATCCAGATTTCTCTAATGCATCTTGGGAGATGCCACCCACATAGGAGACTCAGATGAGTTGTGGGTTCCTGACTTTGCTTTGGCCCAGTCCTGGCAGGCATGTGGGGACTGCCATTGCGGAGAGAAGAGCATTTGCTTGCTCGCTCTTTCTCTCTCTGCCTCTCATGTAAACAAATTTTTTTTTAAATCATTGAAAGAAAACCTAACGAAATCTGTAAAAGTTTATTTGGGCAATATTGCCACAAGGACTAAAAACAATACTACAACCTCTAACATGATTTTCAGTCACAAACACAGAAATAATTGAAGTAAACACCTCAGTTAAAAAGTTCTTAGGCATCCTGTTCCAAAAGGTTCTGTAACTTTCTTCAGAGATGACACCATAAACTATCACACCAGGGCAATGTTATAAGTATGCTGTCAGGAGTACTGCAGGGCCCCTGCACCCACTTGGGAGACCTGGAAGAAGCTCCTGGATCCTGGCTTCAGATCAGCCCAGGTCCAGCATTTGCAGCCATTTAGGGAGTGAACCAGCAGATGGAAGATCTCTCTGTCTCTCTCTCTCTCTCTGTCTGTAACTCTACCTCTCACATTAAAATATATAAATAATAAAAATAAAATGAGCTCAATTTTAACAAAATTTCAGTTAGGTGGTCCAATTTACTTTCTAAGTTTATAATTTTAAGGCTGAGAGATAATTATTTCAGGAAAGAAACTATCAACTCATAACAATTGTGTCTTCAGGCCGGGCACCATGGCTCACTAGGCTAAACCTCCACCTGTGGCACCAGCACCCGGGGTTCTAGTCCAGTTGGGGTGCCGGATTCTGTCCTGGTTGCTCCTCTTCCAGTCCAGCTTTCTGCTGTGGCCATGGAAGGCAGTGGAGGATGGCCCAGTTCCTTGGGCCCTGCACCCGCATGGGAGACCAGGGGGAAGCACCTGGCTCCTGGCTTCGGATCGGCGCAGCGCCGGCTGTAGCGGCCATTTGGGGGGTGAACCAACGGAAGGAAGACCTTTCTCTCTGTCTCTCTCTCTCTCTGTCTAACTCTGCCTGTCAAAAAAAAAAAAAAATGTGTCTTCTGTAAATAGATTATACAGAAAAAACTAAAATTCACGTCTATCTGGCCAGACTTCAGTGGAATATTCTTCATGGCTGGTTATCAAATGAAGTCAGATACCTCTCAATAAAACATATTTTATATCCAGCCACTACTAGCTAGAAACCACTACTCCAAATTTACACTGACCATTTTTCCTAAGATGCTGAAAACACAGTTGATAGTTTTTAAAACATTTATTCTCCAAAAAAAGCCATTCTTGATACACCAATTTCAAAGGCACAGACTTTCACAGAGAGATCTGAGTGGGCTGTGAGATTAGATTGTATGACAGTGTGAGGCATTTCACCACAATGCCCAAGATCAAAGTGTCACAGCAAACAAGGAGCTAGAACTCCTAAACCAGATGCCCATGAGAGGAGCCTAGAAAAGCAAAGGTGGGCTACTGTTCAGAAGTTTCCAATAAAAACGAAGCACCACTAGTCTTAGGACATCCTTTCTAAAATACTAAAAATGATATCCTTAACAAAATTCTGACCAGGAGCCAAAATTTAAATTAAACCCATAAGGAAGTACCATGAGACATAAAATTACATGGTTGACCAAATATGCCAGTTAACCGTTTATTATCTCTTTGTTCCAAATTCACCCTTCACTGCCTGCTCTGCAAAAATTGATTTGGGCCCTTTAAATATTTTTCCTTTGCCAGTTGGCATGATGTTAAAGCTTTGTCAGAAGAAAATGCTGGAAAGACACTGGAAGAGAAAGTAGTTTTCCTTCCAAACCTAGAGTGCTCCTCATGGCAGGATCTCATACCATGCAGTTTCTCCAGTGTGTGCATTTTCTCCACCATTTCAGGCTCCTGAAATGCATGGCAGTCAGCAGCACTCACCAGTTCCCCCAAGCACCCAGTTAGTGTGGTAGCACAGGGACTCTGGTGAGACAGATTTCTGGTAAGTTCCCATTCCACTGCACCAGAACAACTTCTTCACACTGAGCCACAGCCACGCCTTCCCAACCAAGGTCAGGATCTCAATCCAGGAGGCCTCTTCCTCAGTGCTGCTTCTCAGTCTCAGGCGAGACAGACGCTCCTTTCCTTTATCCTTCCGTGTTTTTCAGAGCTCCTATTTGTTACTAATGTGTCCTTCCTTGCTCGAAATCTTTCTGCTCAAATTATATGTGATTTCTCAATCTTAATCAAACCCTGACTGCAGATCAAATTTCAAGCAACTAATCCTTAACTGAGAAAATTATAGACTGTTTAGTCATGCACATGCATACACACACACCAGATCTTCATTCATTAGAAAGTTCAGACTGCTAGCGTAAAGTCTCCAAGGTAAGAAATACACTTAACTAGTTAGTTCACAGGATATACCTTTATTAATGGTGCTCTCACTCAGGGTAACTGTTGATTTTCCTCATTAACCATGCAAGTAGTCTAACTGATTATCTTGGGGTGTGTGTGTGTGTGTGTGTTTGTGTGTCTTGGTGATTCCTTTTTTTATTTTGAAGGGAAAATGAAAAGCTAAAACATATTAATACTTAATAGAGAAAGGAGTACAGTCAGTGGCTCCCTTTCTCTGGCCAACTGCTCTATCAAATTGCTCTATTTATATATAGAGGAAAACCCAAAATCTCAGCAATCCCAAACTAATATGCAGTTTGCTTTTCAGCTGTAAAGGAAAAGATTTTTAATCATTTCCCTCTGTTCTCACTGTGCATGTGCTCTCTGTAGTCCACTTTGCCAACATTAAAATGAAATATTCAGCATCAGGCTCACCATTTCTGTCCCACTTCGTTCTTAATTCTGCTAGTCACAGAGTTAAAAGGCCAGGATTAAGAGTCATTAGACACAGTACTAAGGCAAATTAAAGGGCTTGTTCAAGGGGTATAACATCTGCTCCTCAAATTCCTGCCGAAACAACTAAGATTCCGATCAAAGAGAACAGAGGGAAAGCCAATCTGACAGTGAACTGGAGTCACGAGGAAGTGAATGTTCTCTCAGGGAGTAACTCTGACACCAGAGGAAGGCTTAGTGACATTGCACAATTCCTTCTGTGAAGTTATTCATGGGGCAAGTGGGAGTACATGAGCGTAAGTGGAGGGGAGTGGGAAGGTGAAGATTGAGGATCCTTTTAAGTAGTTTTTGCTTGGCTAGCAAAACAAGCTGGGACATGCAAGACAGATCAACACAGCTGTTTGGGGCCGTCACTTGGGGCTCAGGAGCCAAGGTGTCCTGCTGTAGTGAAAAGTGCACTGGAATGTGAGTCAGGAGCCCAGGGAACCGAGTCCTTGCTCTCGTGCTAACTAGCTGCATGATGGTGAGCAAGCACCTCAGCTTCACAGGACTCAGCGTCCTCATTTTATGGGAAGTCCGAAGCTGAGACTAGATGGCAGCACTGTAGAGGGGTGCTCCCGAGCCTCTGAGAGCAGGTACTGGTTGTATAACTTCACTGAGCCCTGACTTCTTCCACTGAAAAAAAAGGAGTGATAATGCTTACACAACTGGGGTGAAGACTAAAAATAATATACATATGGCCCCGAGCTTAGTACCTGAAAAAATATCATTATTACTTATTTCCAAGATTATCTGAGGAGTATAGAATACTAGCCAAATGTAATGTTTTCCAAATTCATTAGAAATAAGTATACATTTGGCACA